ATTTTCTTTTTCTATCATCGGGATGATGATCCTCACAACGGCATGGGTATGAAGAGGCGCTTTTGGATGGTCCAGAGAGGGCCGCGTCGCGAATAATATCTCCGGGGGAGATAGAGAGATACCGCATCTAGCATTGATCTTATCGGAGATCGATCACTCTTAGCAGGAGGCAGGAGTAGCAAGGCAAGACAGCCGACCATTTAGCTTTTTTTGTGTATGTTTCGATCGATCATCATTGGCTTTCTGAGAAGAGACTCAATCAAATACCAAAGATATCCCCCTCGCGAGCCGACCTAATAATGCATAGATGCCCTGTGCAACAACACCACGCTCCTTGCTGACCACCATGCCCTCGGCCCTGTCGGTCCTGTCTTGCCTAGCCCAGTATAGAAAGATGCGCGGCTACTCATACACGAAAAACCAAACGTACACCGGAAACAGAACAGCATGCGCTCGAGAAGGTAAGGAAAACCCGCGCCTCACACGTTCCATCATCAAGTCATCACGTTGGTCCAAAGGCAGTCCGGCAGCAAATGGCCCAAACCCCAAACCCCCCAGTCGCAGCTGAGCGATTGCCTCAGACATGACCGCGCAGAAAGCCATAGCCGTACATCACTGTCGAGCAAGTGCCTTCGTTGGCGAAGAAAGATCCATGACGTTGGAAAACTGCGTCGTATCTTCATTTCGGTAGCATCTCGCCCTTGTCACCTTCTCGGAACAGAGAAGTGGCACGTAAATTATGGAGATTACCGTGGAAAAGGAAAACCATTAGGGGGGCCTCGCCTTGACCCTCGGCCCCTAAATGAATCTAATTTCGCTCCCACGTGGCACCAGCATAAACAAGCATATCGGCCGATCATTCAACTTGCCGCCGTCATTTGTCGTATTTGTGGTCGAGGCTTCAACGGTGGCTGTGCGAAAGGGGTTGGACGGGAGTACGCAGGCAGTGGGCGCTTTAACCGTACTGCTACTCTTGTTTTCCCCTCGCGCCCTTTTCCTCCAAGAGGAATAGTCTAGGATGTATATATGCAATATGCCGTTCGTGAGTGGTGAGTCATCACGAGGGCCAGCGGTTCTGGTTGGCGCGGCCCAAGCCGGAAGCCCCCAAGTAGCTGCTGCCCAGACCTGGAGGAGTGTAGAGGGAGGCAGCGCCGGAGCTGGATGAGCGCTGCTGTTGTTGATGTTGGGAATGTTGGGGTACGCCGCCGGTGCCGAGGCCGTAGGACCCGGCCGCGCCTAGGTTCAGGCCGCCGTGTGCGCTGGTAGAATCGAGACCTTGGAGTTCCAGGAAGCTTGGATCGGGGAAGGCGGAAAAGGAGGTTGGCATGCCCGTCGAGTGGGAAGTGGTGTGTGTAGTCGTGGTGGGGGTCTGCCTCGTCCCGTATTGTGGAGAGTGACCTGTAACGCCGCCATGGCTGGTGGTACTGCCAGGACGATACGGGTTGCTGTCGAGGGGTGAAGCCGTGGGCGTCCGACGCGGGGCAAACGCGGCATTGCCATGCATCAGCGACGGGGAGCCCCGGTAGGTGTTTTCTGCTTGCATAAGGGGGGAGTTGGACTGCGCACTAAACTGCGGGGAGTTGTTCACGTGCTGAACGAGCCCGGTGACCGGCGACCCAGAGCCCATATGCTGCTGCTGCCGTTGGTTAGCGGGATAAGAAGGCTGCTGTGTGCTGTATGACGACCCAAGCGTTTGGGCCTGCGAGTAGAAATTTTGCGAGGGTCTCGGTTGCGGCTGTGGTGCCATAGTGCCCGACATTTGGGTTGTTTTTGACGACTGCGATGCCACTGGTGATGCGGTCTGGGTGATCTGTGGTTGCTTTTGCTGCCGGCTAACGGTGGGTTGCCTTGCTTTATCTGGTATGTTCTGAAGAGCAGCCATGCGCTCGTAGTGAGCCTCTAAGCCTTCAGCCGGGGCAGGATTCGGATTAGAGGCAGGCGAAGCTGTAACTCCTAACGATGCCGTTGGCTGTTGTTGTTTCTGCGCTTGAGCTCGAATATTGAAGTTCGCTAGCTGCTCATTACGGTTTTGCATGGCCACATAATGTGCCTCGAGACCCTCTGCTGGCGGTGCTGGTGGGTTCGGTACAGCCGTCAGCGTTGCTGGACTGGGCTGTAGCGTAGCCTCGGCAGAAATAGCTGAAGAGGTAGGAGGGTTCTTGGCCACTGTATTGTTCGGTGTGGACCGTCTTGCCGTAGACGTTGCATTGGGGTCTTGCGACTTGCGTGCCCGTTTAGGAGCAGGCACAGGAGTGCTACTCATCGAGGCTTGCTGGCTTAGTTGGCCTTGACTCTGCAATTCGGAAGTTGAGATCGGCTGTGTAATATCTGGTCGGGGATGTTGGGTATACGATTCGTTAGTCGTAGCTGTAGCCGTTCCATCTGGTTCGGGTGCCGGGGCGCTGGTGTTCGCAGACGGACGTTTCCGCTTCCTAGCAGTCACCGACGCCTGCTTGGCTTGCTGGCTGCCGGGTTGAGTACCGGCGGGCAACTGACCAGTGTCCTGAGCAGCTGCCCCGTGGTCGGTAGAAGACGGAATCCCGTCTGGTTGTGTGGGCGCAGCTGCTGACAGGTTCGAGTTCTGGTGGTTGCTGGGAGCAGGGACTGAGGACTGCGAGGCCTGGGGGGTTTCCTTAGCAGCCGTAGTGGCCGCTTTCGATCGCTTCCTAGCAGCCTTTGGCTTATCTGCGTTTTTTCTCGACTGGACATCCAGCATTGGCACGGGGACAGGAACTGGTGTCACTTTTGGTGGAGGTGCGGTAGAGGGACCCCCAGCATTCTGTACTGGCTGACTTGGATCTGCAGAAACGGCTTCTCCTGGTTGAGTAGCCTGCTGCAGATTCGGGGCCGGCTTTGGTCGGTTTTTGGACCCCTTCGGTCGTCCACGGCGCTTAGCAGTGGACCCAGGCACGGGTGTCGTAGTACTGTTGTTGATTGATCTGAAACCAGCGGTTGAGCCCGTGGCTGGCGTGGCGGCTGCTGGTCCGCCGTTCAATGCTCTGGAGGGAGTAGATGGGTTCTGCGACGGACCACTTGCCTCAATCAGATCACCATCGTCGTTCAATTCCAGGACACTGTCATCAACATCCACCCAACCATCATCGTTCGCATCTTGTGTCTGCTTTCTCTTAGTTTTGGTAGCCTTCATGGGGCCTTTCTTGATGCCTTTATCGCTTCGAATCTTGCTGGCCTTGCTGCCCTTCGGCCTTCCTCTGGGGCGCTTCGGAGCAGGCGGAGCCGGAGGCGGTTTCCGAGGGTTATCAAGATCGGGAAAGATCTCAGAAATCCAGCCTACAAACAGAGACCCCGAGCCATTGGCCCAAGCACTCTCAGGAAATTTCCCATCGGTAGGAGGAGGGGCATCCGGGATACCACCGAAGAAGGCCAAAGCCTTACATATCTGGTCAACCACGGTATGGTGAGGGAGAGCCCGCAGAAGTGTCAGCAGACGAGCTTGTTCGGACTTGGTCTCTTCCACGGTCAGGGGTAAGCAAGGGCCAGGGTTAACGGCAGCTTCGCTTTCGGCGCGGGCCTTTGAACCTGACTGCTTGGACGCAGGCGGTCGGGGGTAATGAGCCCTGCGCTGATGCGAGACATAGGTGTTGGTCTGGGCCAGCTTGGCCTGCAATTCCGTATTCTCGCTGGTACGTTTGGCAGCGGCATCTCTACCTTCGCTCGCGCGATGGCTGACGACGTCCATGTGCATGACATTGAAGCTGCCCCTCATATGGTCGTTCACATCCTTCAATTTGCTGGGTACGGGGTTGCGAATGCGTCCGTCGCCGCGCGGATATAGCTTCAGCCCAGTGTATACAGGATGGTAACTAGCAAAAGGCGGCGAGGCGGAGGACGGAGGATGGCCGTTGGCATCGCCATTCGGGACAGCGCCTACGGGTGAAGGCGAGGGCACGGGAACATTCGGGGATTCGGAAGTCGCTGGGCCATTGTTACTCGAAACCCTTTCTGGGCCATTTGAGGCCATGTTTGCCAGATTGGCGGAAGGTTGGCCTGTCGAGTCACGGTTAGCCAGAGGAGCTCTGATGCCGGGCTTCTTGGGGCAACGTGTTGGGTTGGCAGTACCTAAGAGTGTAGCCATTGAAATGCATATGCGGCAGAGACCATGACACTGTGTAGACAGAGGCTGTTCAACGTTTCTGCTGCGACGCGCAGTGATTTGGCGGTGGTGCTGGCGACTGGGCGTGGACTGGTGGGCAGGATCCCATACCCATCAGTGGCAGAGACGGTGGAACGCGCCAGCTATGCGTGCAGCATAACAGCGGTCGCCTCCTCCTCGAAAAGCACAGGACAAGGAGATGTAGTCTGCTCTGCGGTTGAAGCGCTTGGGTGATCGGGGGCGACGTGAGCAAAGAATACGAGGCGGGAGGGAAGTCGGATGGAAGAAACGCTCAGCACGCAGCCTGGGACTGGATACGGTCAACCTCAGAATTCGGAAATCAGCCTCCAGATCTCCGAGCAACAGGGCTTTTCTTCGGGCTGGGCTGGCGTAGGCGATATGCGCCGGTGCAACGTTGGTACGACAGCACGAGACAGGACGTGGTGGTCGGCGTTGTCGTGGCTGCAGTTGGCATCAGTGCGAGCTTGGGAACGGGAGGCGCCGGAAAGTTGGAACAGACGCCGGTACATGAGCTGGACTTTGTCGGCGGTTAAGGCAATGGCTTGACCGAATCCTGTCACGCAGCGCACGCTCGTTGGCCCTGTCCAGTCTTGCCAGTAGGAGGGTAGGTAGAGAGGGAAATCAGGCCCAGACAGCACTGCTTCTGTGGGGTAGAATCGCCTGTCGCCTGTCGAGACGTGCTAAAGCAGCTAGAGCATCCGCTACTAGCGCCGCAAGCTGTTTCCCAGGTAGCGCATGCAAACTAGAGGAGCACTTTTGTCACAAGGCCTGCAGCCATTGGACAAGACCCTAATCCGCTTATCACCTGGCTACCCAACCCTCTTAATGCACAATAAATTTTGCTTTTCCAACAATTCCCCGAGAAGGTGAGATGGCCGAGTTGGTCTATGGCGCCAGGTTAAGGTTACCTTAACTGGTGACTGCTCTGTCAGTTGCAGTTTCCTGGTGGAGAAATCCGCGTGGGTTCGAATCCCACTCTCATCATCTTTATCTTTTGCCACCTATTCTGGTGACCAGGCACGGCGATTCCTTCATTTTATTATCATGGTGTTGGTTTTCGTCGGTCATGCATTATTTCATGGGCAAGTTTGCATCTTACATTTTTGTCTTATCTGGTTATACTAAACTAAACACCTTGTTCATGTGATTAAAAAAACTGATGTGCATCCATCTATTCTGATGTATGTATGTATGTATGTATGTATGCACTGATTGATGATATTGGAGTTCTGCTCTACATAGGTAGATTTCTCAACCAAGTGTTAGTTAAGCGTAGCTGAGCCGTCTTCGTCTATCCGGTGAACAATATAATATGGCCTCTCCACGTTTGTCAATTCCAGGTTATCAAGTCTGTCCAATGCCACATACCATAGGTACCTGGTATTTCGTCATGTTTCACTGACACCTCTACTGACCTACCCAGCTGGGGTCTTGAAGATAAGCCGGCGAGTGACTTACTAGGTATCTTAGCAGCTTAGCACTCTTATAGCAACTTGCAGGTTGAGCACTTCTTGGACTAGGTATTTTTCTGGACTGCTTCAGGTTTCATACTGTAGCACTGACTGCTCATGGCGGGCGCATCACATGAAGCTCGTTGCGATTTGATAAAGGATACCGGCATGCGGAAGAGCTCTACTATTGGGGCTGTACCCCTTCCGCTATTGGGGCTGTATCCCACAATTCCCAGCTGCAAGGCCTAGCTCTCCAGCGCTCACAGCACCTATTCCACCTACCTATCTAGAACCCCCCCCCCCCCCCCCCCCCTCCCCGCGCAACATCTTTACCAGCCAGCGTATACCGTCACTTACCTTGTTTCTTACACTTGACGTAGGGTTAGTTAGGGGTAGTTAGGGGTAGGGTTAGTTTAGGGGTAGGGTTATCTTGGTATATGGTCCTATTATATTACACAGAAAAGGCAATGCGCAAAGGAATGCAAGTTGTTCTAAAGCACTGCAAAAATGTATGGCGGGCAGAGCTTTGCAGATGCCAGCGGCTTGGAATTCTGGAGCTACAGCCCCAATAGCGGAAGGGGTACAGCCCCAATAGTAGAGCTCATGCGGAATGGGTTGTCAGTGCTTGAGTGCCAGTGTGCCCCACCTTGCTTGGTCAGTTGACAGCCTGAGAGTGCCTGACAACCCGATCCGACAGCCCTGGAGCTTACCTACGGTTCCAGGTAGCTGCTGTCCAGCACTGACGTTGCCTTGCCTTGGCCAACACCGACTCCGATACCAGCTCCAAACCTCGCGACTACCTAGGTACCCGTGCGAGGAGCTTCCCCGTCCTACAACACGCCGTACTATACGCAGGAGCATGATAGCTTCCCTCCCTCTTCTTCTCCTGGCCTTCTCTTCTCGCGCCGCCCTCTAGGACATCGGCCTCTTCCTACCTTATTCCTCTTCCTCTTACTCCGCTGCCCGCTGTCCCGCTTCATGCGCTGTTCCATCTTGACCGAGGCAAATCCCGCGAGGCCGATCCCATCCCACCACTACTCCCTCGAGCAGCAACATCATGGCTCCCACACCGAATACCTATGCCCTCGTATCGCTCCCCTTGAGCACCTTCGATACCGGCGACAAGGAGGAGGCCCTCGATAGTCTTAAGGCGACCATCACCTCCGAGAACGGCACCGTGCTGCCCTTCCCGGTTCCCAACTTCAAGATAGGCACTCTGGACGCTCTGGTTCAGCAGGCGGATGACTTGGCGAAGCTGGATTCCGCCTGCGAAGGCCTGGTCGCCAGGGTCGGAGACTCGCTACGCACCTTGTATGACGGTGACGAGGAGAAGGTCGCTCAGCAGCAGCTCGTTAACGATAGTACGATCTCTGATCTACCTACCTACATACTCCCCAGACACATTTGCTAAGCATTGCCCAGAGCCTACCGATCAGTACCTGCGGTCCTTTTCCTGGAACAAGGTTCGCTACCGAGCTGACAGGCCCGTTGGCGAACTCATCGACAACCTGCAAAAGGTGCGAGCATTCCGACTCTCTGCGCCTACCTATATACTGCGTTCTTTGGGGCGGACCCCGAGCTTGCTAACTCAGCATTCCGGTCATAGGAACTGGCAACGATAGACAACGATGTCAAAGGAAAGTTCAATCAATACAACCAAGTCAAGACGAACTTCGCCGCCTTGCAAAGAAAGCAAAAGTAGGAATCTCTCTGGCTCGACCCGTTTGCCATCCTGGACCCCAGGCTGACTCGTATACTTTCCTCCAGTGGTAACCTCGCTACCAAGTCGCTGACGCCGATTGTCGATCCTTCTCTGCTGGTGCAAGACTCGGAGTACCTCGAGACGCACTTGATCGCCGTCCCAACGAACCTGAAGAAGGACTTCCTCCGAAGCTACGAGACACTGGCCCCAATGGTGGTGCCGCGATCGGCGCAGCAGGTGGCACAGGATGAAGAGTTCATCCTGTTCGCCGTCACCACGTTTAAGAAACACGCCGCCGAGTTTCTGCAGAAGTGTCGCGAGCAGAAATGGACGCCACGTCAGTACAAGTACGTCGAGGGCGGCCGCGAGGAGGAGAAGCGCGAGCTCGAGCGTGTTGCTCGCGACGAAAAGAAGGTATGGGGCGAGGCTCTCCGCCTGAGCCGCACCGGTTGGGGCGAGAGTGTCATGATGTGGGCTCACACCAAGGCCTTGCGCGTCTTTGTCGAGTCGGTTCTCCGTTACGGCTTGCCCCTCGAGTTCGTTTCCGCTCTGGTACTGGTAAGTCGCCCAGCCCATTCCGTCCCCCTTCTGAATAGAGCACATGCTGAGTCTTGGGATCATAGACGAACCATAAGCTGGTCAAGAAGGTCAAGACCGCGTTGGACTCGTCCTACTCATACCTCGGTGGCAACGCCTTTGGACGTGACAAACGCGGCCGCATCACCAAAGACGATGCGGCGTTAGTGTCCGAGATGGCAGCAGCTGGCCTGGGCCACGGAGGCGAGGGAAACGAATACACGGCATATGTATACTACGAGTTTGAACTATAGAGCATTCAAAATGCCACACAGCATGAAGCATTCTGATCAAGCGTCACGCTCCTTCTGCCTTCTATTACTGAATTATGTAGGAAATCAAACCAGCACGAGCCTCTCCAAATATGCGGTGAGGTCTTCCACTTACGCGGTGCTTAGGTCAACTTATGTGCATACAATGGAAGAGTAACTCAACTCCTTCGCATCGCCCTATCTGTTCTTATTGCCTTGACTAGGTACTTGCTTGTAGACCCGCGACCTCGCAGTTGAGCCGCCCACGGCCTCTGCTGAGTCCAGTGCAAATATGGCTGCGACCAGTTGCTTTCTTGCTGGCGTTGCTGTCGAGAGCACTGCCCATGAAGAACGTACTATATATAGGATTTTGCGGCCTGGGTAGAGTATGGCGCAGCCCCGTCGGATACTTGAGGTAGGTAGTTGTTGTGTCAAGAAAACGCCCCCCGCCCCCCCTGATGTTCTTGTACCAGATATTATCGTATTCATACCGGTGGCACCGAGTCCAAGCTACCAAGATGGTGTAGACCACACAGAAGAGGCGTGATATAATAGGTCGGTACGCAACCCTCTGCACTTGCAAGACTTGCAACATTTTAGGGAAGGCGCTTAAGCACTCCCCTAACTGCTAACAACAGCCACCCCATGTACGAAAGGTAGGGTGGCCTAGAGAACCATGAGGGCGTTCCTATCAGCTTGCTTTCAATGTTTTTGCCTACACTTTACTTACCTCGAACCGCGGCACCTCTCAACCCAATTGAGGGCCCAATCACAAGTGAAATGCGGTTGTACAGCCTAGAGCGTTGATCGGAAGAAGCTCTATATTGGTCGAAATAGGGACTTTCGCAACTCCGCTCACTGTCTATTTACATTTGCCCAAGATCCGACTTTTCTCCAAGTCGTAGAGCTTCTATATTATGCCGCGTAGATGATTCCTGAGATCGTGAAGATTCATTCGCTCTAGCACATCCAAGTCCCGATGCGTATGATTACGGGTGGACGACGACTGCATCCGACGGGGACAGAGAAGGGTGTATTTATTTGGTGGACTTGGTGGGGATGAGCTCCTTGGCCTCGAGCCAGGCGACGATGTCCTGGACACACTCCTCCACAGAGCGCTCGTTGGTCTTGACGACGATCTCGGGGTTCTCAGGGGCCTCGTAGGGCGAGCTGATACCGGTGAACTCCTTGATCTCGCCGGAACGGGCCTTCTTGTAGAGACCCTTGGGGTCGCGCTGCTCGGCGACCTCAACGGGGATATCGACGAAGACCTCGATGAAGGGAATGGGCTCGTCGTCGCTTCCCTGGCTGACGGCGCCGTGGACGTCGCGGGCCAATTGACGGTCAGCCTTGAAGGGAGAGATGAAGGAGGTCAAGGCGATGGTGGAGGAGTCGGCGAAGAGCTTAGCGACCTGGTTACATCGAATGAGGGTCAGCGATTGCTATGTGAAAATAGGGCACAAGGGAGAAAAGACGGCAGGCACTCACCTCACCAATACGGCGGATGTTCTCGGTACGGTCCTTGTCGGAGAAGCCCAGGTCCTTGTTGAGACCGAAGCGGACGTTGTCACCGTCGAGGCGGTAGGCAGCCAGGCCCATGTGCAGCAAGTGCTGCTCGAGGGCGGTGGCAACGGTCGACTTTCCGGAGGCCGAGAGACCAGTGAACCACAGCGTGAAGCCCTTCTGCTTGCGGTACTCGTTGCGCTCCTTTCGCGACAAGGACGGGTGCCAGACAATGTTGCTGCGGTGAGGGGAAAGGGGGTTAGCGAGACATTCAGGAGCATCGTGGAATGGAATGGCATGGCGGGGGAGGGGTACGAGGGGCAGCGAGACCCTGCGCGGATCCCTGGAATTGGGAGTCACTCACGTCGCCATGTTTTCTGCTGTGGTTCGATTGACTTTTTGCTAAGGTCTTCCGGTAGGTAGTCGAAGCCAAAAATGCGAGGAGAGCGCAAAGGTGTGTCGTCGATGGTGCTGCAGGAGAGGATGCGTGGCAGGCAAGGC